GACATTATTTTTTGCAGTCAAAAAAGGAACACAATTTACCTGTCGCTTGTGACAGTAAAATGGGGATTGATAATATTTTTAAATGAATTACCCTCTGGTCTCAATCAGGTTATATCCTCCAAACTGTTATAGACACTAAAGGCATGACAAAAATGTCAAACCATCAGGGAAACAATGCCTGATAGCATTTACTGGCCCCCTTTATGTGTTTTATGACTTATGCCAGTTGGGTGCAGGACACACTGAGCAAGCAGAACCAATTTCCGTTTGATGTGTGATGATGAAATGATTCCTCCCCGATCTGTCTCCACTTTGCCAGTGATGGGGTGCTTCAAGTTGGGGCACAGAATCCAGAAAGACCCCCCCCCAGACCTCTACAGATCTTTCTTCTCATTCACCTGGGTCTTTGTCCTTGTTCTCAGCCCAGAACTCTTCCACAGCCTCCACAGCGATTCTTGTTGCCAGGGCAAACAACTCAAGGGCGCCCTCTCTTGACAGGCTGATAGACTCGTCGAAGCCCTGAATACTTGCCTGAGATTGAGTAGGCAAAAAAGTAAAAACAAAATTTCAAAATTAATGGTGAATGGGTGTGCCACAGTTAGAGTTTCCAGAGGAAACTTGCAAGCTTTCCTCAGGTGGGATTGAAACCATAAACTGCTTTCTTATGGAAGAATAACCTCTTGACCACTGGGCACACCAGGGTTAATTGACAAGGCTAAACCTAATACACCAATTCAACTCTCCACAACATTCAGTTTGCAAATTTGATGTCAAAATAATTACATTTTAGATTGGAAGTCTGCCCTCAACTGAAGCTCAGACACTGCAAGTATTAAACACAAACTGAAGCCCTTTTTAATATCATTAACATACTTGGTATGTAGCAGTTGTAAGGATGTCTGCACCACTTTCCAGGAAACTGTTTCAAACAGGAAAAAAAAAGTCACAGGCAATTAGACACATGTGCAACCTCAATCCACTAATCCTGATTTCATGACTAACCTTTAATCTGGAGCCTCTATTAATTTACATTGGAATTTAAATGGAAATGTATGTTTGTCCTTAAGGTTGACATGATCTAAAGTAAAGCTTGCAGGCAGACCAAAAAATGCCCTAAACTGTATAAAGTTAAAGACTAGCTGCAATCAATTTGTTTTAACACAAACTTTGAAAATACCCCCTTTGTGTCTCACTTAACTTTCTTCCAACTTTTGCTTCATTGTTTCAAAGGGTATTTACTGCAAGTTTGGTTTTATGCTAAAGAGTATTTCCATGTTCATGAGCGCAGCTATGATGCATTCCTAGAAAGAAAGCCTCAAGGATATATACACAGATTTTAGCACAAACAGTCCTGCATTTTGTGGATTTTGCTAGATGAAATTTTTCTTTTTTGATGATCCATCGCTATTTGTGCAAAACAAAGCAAGTATCAATCCCTTCTTGGAAATGTTTCAATATTAACTTCTGGATTCACAACTTTGATGGAAAAACCTACATGTATGCAATGACCAATATGTACTTATAATGACAATGATAATGATTATTTATTACTACTTGCAAACAACGGTTGGATTGAGTTGCATACTACAGTCTAAAAAGACACCATATCAAAATACAGTATAGCAATATTCAAGCCTTAAGTTAAAATTGCTAAAAACAGCAATATAAAAACAGAATCATCCAATTTATCCAAACCTGTTCCAATAATGTAGACATCTTCAAGGACTAAAGACAGATAAATTAGAAAAAATACTTAAGATTTCATAAAAAAAGTTCCATTTGACATGTTTGACATATACATCTTGGGAACACCAACTCACACCTAATTAAAATCTTTAAGAACAATTAATATAAAAACAATCATCCTATTTATCTAAAACTTGCTAAAACTACTGGTATGTTATTACAAAGTAATTCTTAAAAAGACGAGATGGCATTGGAAAATTGACAAATACACTATTAGCGTGCTACTGAAGATTGAGGAGACACCATGGGGTAAAGGAGGTTTTAAACCTATTTGTGCGGGTATGGGGCAGATCTCAACTGATACAACAGCCCACGGGGGACAGGGAGCAAATGGTGAAACTTATGACTAGGGTTCTTAAGCTTATTGAAATAAGACTTACACACATAACGCCTATCATAAGGAGACTGGATATTGACAGCTTGCAAAGTGGTCTCATAACTCTGCCCAGGATAATTACAACTCAGAGCCCTTTTCTGAATCGTTTCAATCTTGTCAGACAAGTACTTTGGAAGACTGCTATGCCACACTTGACATGTATATTCCAAAACAGGTCTAATTACAGACAAATATATCTAAAGCAGGTCATTTTGACTGATACCTGCTCATTTCATTTGATACAGCATACAATTTTTTACCAGCCTCGGATACGATGAGGTCAACATGGGCGTTCCATGTCAAGTCAGCAGAGAGTATAATACCGAAAACTTTAGCTTGAGTGACTTGAGTTGATTGTATTATTGTCAACTTCAATGTTTGGCACAGTAATGGGATGAGACGGATCCTTACAAAAACAAATCAAAAGTTCTTTGGTCTTTGTCGAGTTGATTTCATTCTGCAAAGCAATGTCGGCAGACTCCTGTAATGGGGACTCTGAACCCTTCTTACAGACCTTGAAAATAGTGCTATTGTCCACGTATTTATAAATTGGTCAGGGGTTAGCCAAGTCATTGATCTAAACTAAAAAGTCCATGGGTCAAGATAGTGTCCCCTGTGGGACACCACCATTTGGACAACCTGTGGTTGACGTGACACGCCCAATTTTGACACGCTGGACCCTGTCCTTCAAGAACGCAGCCATCCAGCGTACTAAATGATGATCCAGGCTGATGTCGATCAGTTTCTGGATAAGAATGTAGTGATTTATGTGATCGAATGCCTTGGAGTAGTCCAGCAGCAGAATGCGTACGAATCTGCCGAGTTTGTGAGTAGCCTCGTACCATTGGTGAACCATTTCCACAAGCACATCAGTAGTACCAGACCCAGGAATGCAACCAACAGGTTTGGGTCTATTTTGTCCTTGATTTTACTAGACACTTAAGTCGAGTACAATAGATTCAAACACTTTGGCAGCAATGGGTGTCAATGAAATTGGTCTAGTATCAGTCTCTATTGACATGGATGGGAATGTCTTTGTATGGAAATGACGTGCAGTTTTCCAACTCGTGGGAACTGCACCCTGTCTAACTGAAGTGTTATAAACGTCCATTAGAGGGGCAGCAAGTACATTTGAAAATTCAGCGTAGAATCCATGCAGGGATTCCGTCAGACCCCCTGGCTTTGGTAACATCAATCAAGAGCCTTCTTCGTAGAGTAAACACTGATGAAAAGCTCTGCTGGCACCGGTTCTGTTGACTGGAAGACAGGGTTAGTTTTATCCAGATGACGTAAGTCACTGCTGACAGAAATGAAAAAGTCATCAATCTTATCTACTCACACCTGCAGATCTCCATTGGACACCGTTTTGGCAAGGCCCTGCAAACAGGCATCTCCCTTTATTGATGGTGCTCCCATGAGTGCCTTCATGTTTTTCCACCAGCCTCTGCAGGAGCAATTCTGCAAGGTGGCAATCTCGGACTGGTAGAAATCATGCCATTAACGCGAGGCAGCACGATGAACTTGGTTACGAAGTTGTTTTGCTAAGTCAACTTTGCCTGCCATTCTTGCCCACTGGCGTCTCTGGACCAAATGTCAAAATGCATCGATGACCCATGGCTTATCGTTGGTGTGCCTTGTCATAATCTTGGTGGGAAAACAGGACTGCATTAATGAATGCAGGACTGACTGGTAGATGGCTAATTTCTCATGGCAACTTTCACAGTTGTTCAAAACATTCCAGTCAATCTCAGAAATTGCTGAGCTAAGAACTGCTTTCTCTCTTTTCGCCCATGTACCGAATGGTGATCCTGAGGGTGTGGCCATTGTCTAGAGATGGGGCATTGGATGGAGAAAATAAAACCATATTATGATTTGATGTACCAAGTTCCGAGAGTATGACAGGTTTGTCGTAAACAGATGACAGGTTGGTCCAGATCTTGTCCAAAATTGACTGATGCCGTGTGGGTGAATCTACTACTTGCTTAAAGCCATAATGGGTACCGAGGAATGCGTCTCTGAGTTGATTGAAATCACCAGTCACTATTACACCACACGATGGGTGCAATCGTAAGATGCTATGGGCACAATTAATGAGGTAGCCATGCATGGATGTGTTGTCTGCATCAGGTGGGTGGTAAATGCAACCAACGGCCACGCAGGAAAACTGTCGAGGAAGTTTTCATGGTCTTGACGTGATCCATAATGCTTCATGTGTGTCGTCTTCCAAGACTTGTAGTCTTTTGTAAGGAATGGAGTTTCTTATGTCCATTTATAATAAGAATATTGTTAGTTATTAATGACTTCCCTAGATGACATCACAGCAACAGCACTTGCTTAAGTTGTCCAGGAAAGCACTGATGATTTTAAATATTTAAAAAGCCATGCTTTCATTTGAGTTTGGTCATTTGTACATTTATACTGGTCTACTCTAGTTCTACACTATTAAAGTACATTTGTACACGTATTTAAAGTACATGTTGTAAAAATGTTGCTCAGCACTGAAGCACATTGGTTCCAAATCTTGCAAATTTAGGGTTGTCTTTGGCTTTAGGAGGAAGCTTTAAGTTACCTCTTATGCACATTCTTGATCAAGTGTGGACCAGTTATTAAAGGCCGGGCACTCCACAGTTCATCTTCCTGAAAAACAAAGTTTTGAAAACCCCATAAATGTGAGCTCTACCCTTGAACAAGAGTTCTTCATCAAGCATGTTTCACCATGCCAACATTCACACCTTACAAACATTTACAACGTTTTGTATTGAACTGATTGGGTGCATTTGGCCGGGTTTATACGGCTGACTGGGGCAGCTAAAGTTCATTTTATTTTTGATGTCTTTGGGCCTTAATTTTATAATTCAAGTGCTTCAATAAATAGATGCTTGCATTTTTTTATGCCAACATTGAACTGATAGGTGACTGCATGACTGAATGGTCAAGACATGTGGCACTGGTGATGCAGTTTGAAAGGACACAGGGTGACTGCTTCATTTTCTTTTATGATCAGTGGCTCTGGAGGATTTTTCTTTAAAAGGGAAATAAAGAATAAAACTGCACAAGGTCCGAATTCCATCTTTAGTTTGGAACCAAAGTTGCATTGTAAAATCTCTACGCCCCCCAAACACTCACTGCACATGTTCTGTCATGCCAACAGCAAATGCAACAGCATTATCAACATGATCAAAACCAGTACACGGTCCAATATCCACGAGGCCTACCTACATGTAAACAAAATGGTGACTGCAATTGAAATTTCAAAAATTCAACAGAAGATAAAATCTTCATCACAATTTCCCTGTAAGTACCAAAAGTTTGATACCAATTTACATGTAATGTACATGTACACCATCCTAAAAGATTTACATAAAATGTATTCATGTCCATGTCCCTCATGATTTGTCTTTTCATAAAACTGTATGGACCGAAAACAGGACTTCTGCCCTCATTTTACTGCACATCACTGAAGAGCATGTAGCCATGGTTGGACACAAGTCTTCATCATGACTGATGTCCAGGTTCTGACTGTATAATACAGCCCAAACTTTACACTATTTTTTTTCTTGTTTTACGTTGGTGATGATGAAACCAATTTCATGCATGTAGGCTACGACACGGCGACTATTCAACTTACAATGCTAACAACACCCGTGTATTCCAGCTCAGTTCCCAATCCCCCGTCTAGAACTTTGACGCTCATTGTTCTCTGGATGTCACTGCTTATAACTCTATCCCGACCCTTAAAATAGCAGCACTGCCTGTGAAAAGTTTCAAACTTCGAAATATGAACTCGTGACCTGGGAAACTGCTGATAACTGCCAACTGTCAGAACTGTTGCTGGATCTCCAAGGCCGGCATTAACTTGTCCGGAGATGTCTATGATAATGAACTTCATCATTCAGGCTCCCGGGTCATTTGAAACATGAATTATGCAGAGCGCTCTCTCGATCTCAGGCTCCCCGCACGGCACCACGTGCGTACGTTTCACCATGATTTCGATAGCGTGCATTTGAACTGGTAGGCCTTCTCCTGAATTCTCCCCTAGGCATAGGGAGATTAACTAGTATGTTTGATTATGGAAGAAATGTAACACTAAGACGCAATAAAAATCTGTACACATGACGGTTTATTTGTTTTCTTTGTTGGGAAAGTTTGTTAGCCCAGAACTGTTACGTTATCCATATCATGGTTGTACGCAGGCGCGTAGGTTTGAACAATGACAGTCCCGTCCCTTCCATAATGTTGTCGGTCCATCTCTTTGATCTCCGTCGTCCCAGTTTCCTTTTTCCCGGAACTGTTCCTTGAAGGATGGTCTTTGAGAGCAACTTTCCATGTTGTGTGGCCATGCCATGTTAGCTTTCTAGTTTGAAGGCTGACAGCCACTGGCGGCGAAAGCACTTTTTAGAGCGGGTCCTATGATTGGCTGGGGCTTAATGGATCATGCGAGCCGTAAAGGCCCGCCCGATGGTCTATTAACTGCCCCCTTCAAAAACTGTTCCGCTGCCTGTGTTGACAGCAGCTCCGAGTCGTTCTGATGGGGCAGATAGTGGCGGATTCCTCTACGTGTGGTCTCCATGCGAGATGCCTAAAGCTGCTAAAATAAGATGCTACAGCCAGAAAATAGCGCTGTTTTTTTGGGGGGGGTCCACGTGTGTAAAGGTAAGGCTTTCGTAACTGCAGGAAAGGTTTCTGTCCTTTCTTGGAAAAATAAAAATATTCTCTCTCTTCATTTCCCTGCAATTGAACCAGGTACACTGAGCTATTTTGAAAGATAATTGATCCACGGTGAATCATATAATTATTCCCTTTAGTAAACTGCACCGTAAACAAAATTATTGGAAAAGCGTAATTTTTCTTGAGATATGACACTAGGCCTAATCATGACAACACTTTTTACCAGGGTTCGGGAAGCTGTGTTCGGGGTGGGGGTATAATTGTATAATTTGTCTCTGTTTGTGGAGTCATTCAATCTGTTTTGTCCTTAACCGAAAATAAGAACGTTTATTTGAGGGGCCTCCAGCCTCATTGCATTAGCGCATTTGGATAGTAGAGAGGACTTGCAGATTTCCGCAGCTTTCTAGGGCATGTTTAATTCTATATCCGATAGAGACTAGAGACTGCGACATAAGATCTGGCTTGCATGCCAGCAGTGCCGTTATACTTAAAGGGTTTGTGTCGTTTCGGCCGCCGTACGTTTTCTACCTCCATAATTCCTATCGAAAGCCTCACTGTTATGTTCATCCCGCTGACATGCGTCACTCTATCTGTTGTAATGTAAAATTTATACTAGCAAAAACCTACGGTGGCTGATCTCCGCCAAGAATACACTTTTTTATTTTACGGCGTTATTACGCCCTAATGTAAGGCATAACCTACCGCCCAGGCTTTGTATCCATGCTATTACTGAGCATCGGGACCACCTGCAGACAAAAGGGCTTTTATCGCTAACCTTGCAAGATTCGAACCGTCCAAGGATGGCCACAGTAACTGCAAATACCATGCGCACAAGCGGAGCCACGTGTGTGTGTGCGTGGGCGCCGCAGAGCATTATTGCGTCGTAATAGGGCGTCATAACGCAATAACAGGGCATTATTACGCTTAAAATAGGCCGTTATAACGCCATAATGGGGCGTTATTACGCCGTATTAGGGCGTTATAACGCCGTAAAATAAAAAAGTGTATAACTGGCCTCTTGATCGTGTGAAGCTGAACATCGACAAATGTAAACTGATGTCTATTACTCGCTCCAGAATACCTCATAGATCCACAAATCAGATTGATTCTCGTAACTTGGATTTTGTTGATCAGTATAAATATCTTGGTGTGGTTATCTCCTGAGATCTTTCTTGGAGTCATCATGTAAATTCAGTTGTTTCAAATGCTACTAAGATGTCTGATTTTACTAGAAGACTGGTTAACTCCAAAGACCCTATATTCTTGTCACTCTTTACTGCTCTCATATCAGACCTATTCTTGAGCATTCTGCCCCAGTTTGGTACTCAAGTTCTCCTTCACAACGAACATTACTGGAAGGAGTTCAAAGGCAATTTACTCGTTCCTGTTTGGGCCTCCCAAGACGTCATTTGCCAAATTCTTGCAGGGATAATATAGAGTACTCGACCTGTTGTTCCAAGCTGGGTCTGTCCTACTTAACGAATAGGCTGAACTTTTTGGTAGTCGTCTATGTAGCCAAATGTATCTATGACACCATGTTTGCAGACCTTGCTTGACATCTTTCAAACTATTTTTTTGCTAGAACGAAGTTGTTTCTTTGCTATAGATTCACCTGAAATTTACGCAGAACTAGTGCTCCCTTGCTGCATGATTCCTAGCTCACTGAAGGTACACATTGTTCGTGAAGAGTGCATAGTTAATGGAACGTAAGTTCTGGCATTTTCTTTCAATAGAGCTTCTGTTCAAGTTTTTTTTTCCCAACAAAGCCTCAATGCCTTTCCCCCTCAGTCAAATCTTACCTACTTTTAAGCAGTCACATCTGAACATCTTGATTACAAAATTATTCATTTTTCCTCCCCTTAAAGTCAAAGTAGAAAAGAGAGCCCCGAGAATCACTTGTCTTGCTCATGGCAAACATACTCCTGCAATCTCTCCACGACAGTAAAAATTCCAAACCTGTTTTAACTTAAGATATAAATGTCTCAAATTCAGGATTGAAATGCCAGTGAAGCCTGTAAATATGCTGCAGATTGGAAATAAACATTTTGTTAAGTTTCTAAAAGAGTATTGAGAAAGATGCTTTGACAGTAAACCTCTATATTTGGCAAAGCGGAGAACATCCACAAAGCCATATGGGTAAAGTTACTGCTTCAGTCGAGGATTATTTATAATTTAGTTGAATATTGCTTGTATTCAAAACATTATTTAAAGTACAGAGTACATTGAAATACCCGGCCACTGTTCAAATAATCCTGTAAATTAGTCAAGTATTCTTTTATTATGCACAATAAGAAAACAACTGCCAGTTGTTATTCTTCAGTTCCTTATAACTTCTACACAAGTGTATGATTTGTATGCTTTTGGTAATCACGGGACAAAAATGAACCTTAATGAAGTCACATATTTTAATCATATAACGGTATAATTTGTTACAATTTGGCTGGCAAATTTCCAGTGTACCCATATTGCCACTTTATTTCAGAATTTACTTCACAAAGGTCAACTGCTGCTTAATAGTACAGTGCATAAATACAATCATTTGAACAGTAGTGGGACACGAGTAACAAGGTCCTTGGGACTTGACAAAGTACATGTACATTGTCATAACAGGTGCCATGTGTCACCAGTAACAGAAAACAAAGAGAGACAAAACCTCGGGACCTAAACTTTTCTTCATTATAAACATGACTTTTTATTATCGGTTTTCTTCTGATCTGTGTTCCGCTGCAATTTGTTTTGATTTCTGAAAGATTTTTTATGCTTAATTCACTCTCTCAATTGTACTGTTAATCTCTTGTAGTGTAGGCTGCAAACTAACTATGTAGAATACATGTAGTTTGTAGTGCCTGCTTCACATGAATGAAATTGACTGACATTTTCCCCCCAAAGAACAGTGAACTGTTCAATCGTTGGATACTTTGAATTGAAATGATTGAATGTGCCAATACTTTCTCTTCCTTTCCATTGATATGTTTTGTTTCGAAATGCCAGTTAAAATTGCAATATCCTAAAGAATTCAACATTTTAAAATATCAATATATTGTATTAACTATTTCTTTTTACTTTTTTTTCTGATGGGAAGATCATGGTAAAGGCCGAGAGGGGTCGCTGCTATTTCGTGTAATAAAAATGTAGGAAAATAGAAAGTAAATCTTTCTCATTGTTTTTGAATCTAATTCATATTACAACTTAAAAAACACATTTGAAACTACAATTTCAGTTGTATCTCTATATACACTTCAAGGGGTCTTTCCTATTTATCTGCGGGACTCTGTTGTGATGAGAGATGAATTAGACTGAGACATACACAAAAGATTCACCAAATGCTGTGGTCATTGACAAGGAAAGAACTGGATGGTTCCAACAGCAAGAATTGCACAATGTGGGTGTATGAGTAAAGTAAAATCAAATGCGAGTGGTTTTATTAAACACAAATGCAGTCAAGTCAAAACCCATAACTTCAAATAGACTTTAAAAACATAAGGTCATTTTGTTTACATGTGCACTTTCCTATGGGGTTTGATGAATCAAGTCCCGCATCTTAGCCATTGAAAAGTGCAAATGTAAAGAATGGGTGGCATCACTATTTTACGTGTTATCAGTCTCTTTGTTTAAGGATAGGTGCCATAGACTCTCAAGATTCTATGACAATTCGGTCTCAGTTTCAACAAAGACAGGTGTGTGAATCCTACTTTTTGTGAATGACTTGTGACGTTATATTAAATTACTAGTGTAGTAACTCGTTTCCTCGTGTGGAAGATTTTGACGCCACCCTGAGCAAGGCAATATTAAATTCATGCTTGTGTTTGTAGAACATAATTGGACAAATTCTGAATAATTTACTCTAAATGCAACACTGAAGCACAACATGCATGCATGATGTTAAGGCATTTTCAATCGGTAGTGTTAGGCATTAAAAAGCCCTCGGCCACATTCATCAGGGTTCCTGCACCTAAAGGGCAATTAAATTCCATGACTTTTCCCATGACCAAATTAAGAAAATCCATGACCCAATAATGAAATTTCATGGACTATTTGGACTTCCGTTAAATTGCAAATAAAATTAGGCATTTTATGCACTTATTTCTTAAAATAGAAATCACACACAGTGTTGACTTTAGTCATTTTTACACAATCCCATGACTTTTCTAGGCTGCAGGACCCTGTCATTTCAAGTGCATATGTGACCTGTCACCCCCAAATGAGCTGAAAATCGGAATTTTCAAAAATTGAGATATTTGTATTTTTGAGTTCAGCAGAAAGAGAGCTCTCCAATGGCATGTACATGGAACACTTAGGGTAGAAGTATAAGGTGACCATGTGACATTATTCTGGCAGCTTGCGCTTTTGTTCCTGACATTGTTTCAACATTTCAGACCAGGCATGCATAATGCTATTGTCAAAACTACTGTGAAAATGATATTTTTAACTATTCGATCCTGCTAAATATTTGGAATTAAAAAGAAAATGGGTTAGTCTTTCCAAATATTACAAAAATCCCCAAATCAACCTCCACTTCAATATGATTTTGAACCTTCAAAATAGGAAAGCGCGGAATGCGACTTTACGCTCATTTTGTTGTGACGGGTCACATATGCGAACATGCTTGCCTTCTTTACACAGAGAAAACGTGACGTTCATTTTCTGACTGTGTATTTAGTTTTCTGCGTATTGGCTTTGTTGGTTTGGGAATACAAACAGATGGCTAAACTGCTGTACTAATGCTGTCCTTAATTTCAAGTTTTCCTTAGGTTTGTGAACAAACCTAGATGTACCCAGCAGGCTTCATGCTGCACAGCCAGTTGATACTAGTAATTACAATGTCTAAAACTCTAGGCTTAAAGGTGATTTGCTTCAATGCAGAGGACAAAATTCTTTCCACTTTCCAAGCTGTTCTTCACAGTAAACCACTTCAAAGGGATTCACACCACTGTCAGTCAAATCACCAGAGTCACTGCAAAGTTAAACAGTCAGCCTGGTTTACCATAGAATTACTCAATCCCTTTGCAGTGAATACAGGCCAAAAGCATCCAGTGGCCAATTTAAAAAAAAAAAGGCATAACTTTGAACCATGCTTAAGGCCAAGAAAATTGTGCATCTTATGCAATCTACAATGACTGTGTAAGATAGTAAGTTTCGTGAAATCATTCCTAATTTGTTGCACAACTTACACAATAAAATAGGGTGCAAGTGGAGTTACACCATTGTGTAAAGTTTTGTGAAATTGGCTGCTCACCAGCCCACCTACAAGGACAATCCTACTACAAGGACAACCCACCTGCAAGGACAACCCACCTGCAAGGACAACCCACCTGCAAGGACAACCCACCTGCAAGGACAACCCACCTGCAAGGACAACCCACCTGCAAGGACAACCCACCTGCAAGGACAACCCACCTGCAAGGACAACCCACCTGCAAGGACAACCCACCTGCAAGGACAACCCACCTGCAAGGACAACCCACCTGCAAGGACAACCCACCTGCAAGGACAACCCACCTGCAAGGACAACCCACCTGCAAGGAAAACCCACCTACAAGGACAATCCACCTACAAGGAAAACCCACATGCACTTCAGAAACTTGCCTAATGTGAAACAAAGGAAACTTTTGTAAGCTTTCTTTCCCAAGCTGTATGTCAAAACACCACTTATCCATGAAGCATTTCTTTCAAGTGATGAAGTTTTACAATCTAGAGTGATGAGTTGTACTTCCTGACAACTTCTGCAATTTGGCGTATATCTTCTGGCCTGGTGTGACAGCAGCCCCCAACATAGCGTGCTCCCAGCTCAATCCAGCTGGTCACCAGCCTCTCTAAGTCAGGCACTTGGTATTCCCCAAGCTTCCTGGAAAGAAATAGAAACAAGCTTTGGTTTGTCATCCAAGGACACATCGGTACTAAAGTTTCCAAAAGTTAACCAGTTAACGATTAATTAATTACGTCTGGTTTTCTCCCTCCCCCCCAAAAAGCTCCCTGGGGCACTTTTTTTTCACGCAAATTCTTCAACCTTGTAATTTATTTCTGGCCTAACCGAGCACAATGCCTGATATGTCAAGTGCAGAAATAAAAAGGAATTCTCCAACAAGAGCACATGTCCTGTGTGGCAACTGATTAAATAGTATTTTGACGTTTGACCAGAGATCAGAATATGGAGACAAAATTACCCCAGTGCCCCCCCCCCCAATTGAAACCATAGCGTTGCTTGCTGGCAATATCTACAGGCAGCATCTGTCATTGTAAGCAACCAACATCGGCAACATTAAGAAATCATCAAATATTCTGAGACCCGTTTTCTTGCTATTGTGGATGTTCCTGTGCTGAGACATGTCAGACCTGTCAGTGCACAAACCTGTCATCGTCAACACTTGAGAATGTGTTCTTTAAATGTCAGGTCTCTCAAAAACAAAACTTCTGACTGGTTGGATTTTGTCTGATTGAGTGGTACTGATTTCTTTTCATTAACTGAGACATGGTTGAGAGTCATGGATGATGCACATCGGATTCAAGCAACACCTATCGGCTTTAAGTTCTTCCATGTTCCTCGCACTGGACAAACAGGTGGTGGCACAGCATTTCTGGCCAGTGAGACTCTTCAAGTCACTAAACAGTCAGGTGAAGAGTATCAGTCGTTTGAATCCTCTGAGTGGCTGATTAAGTCTGCATCATAGACTTTGAGGTTGGCTGTTATATATTGCCCACCTTATTCAGTTTCCCATTAGGTTGGGGTTGTAACTTTTCTTGATGAATTTTCTGATTATTTGGAATCTCTTATATTATGTAGTGAATCACTAATTATTACTGGCGATTTCAATTTTATGTTGCTAACAGTGATTGCAACGATGCCACACATTTTCTTGAGTTGCTGGAATCACTGAATTTGAAACAGTATGTTGATTTTCCCACTCATGTGCATGGTCATATATTAGACCTGGTTATCACAAGACAATCTGAATCCATTGTGAATGGTCTCGTATCTGATCAGATGTTTTCCGATCACTTTGCAATTATGTGCTCTCTTAATTTTTCTTATCCACCCATGTCATTCTCAGAAAATTCAGGCAATTGAAGTCGACAAATTCAGGGATGACATTTTAAGCAAGATGTTTTATCCTTAGGCGATGATACAGGTGTAAATGATCTTAGCATGTCTTATGATACCACTCTTCGTTCATTACTTGATAATCATGCTCCTGTTGTAATGAAAACTACCGTTGTGCGACCTCGGGTTCCCTTGGCTCAATGATGACATTAAATCAGTGAAGCAGCGTCAGAGAAAATATGAGAGAAAATGGCAAGCGACCAAACAAGAATGTGATCTTATCCTTTTTAAGTGTACAAGGAACAGGGTAATCTTACTTATGAACCAATCTCATTGTGAGTACTAATAATAACTTTATTACCAAGAATAGCAGTGATCCTAGGCGGTTTTCAAGGCTTGTACATCTCTTTTTAACCCTAACAGTCCCAAATCCTCCAATTTAAATACGATTTTACATACACCCTTGGGATTAGGGTTAACATACCTCAGTGTTATCCCCACATGTTAATGATTTTCAACTTGCCAATGACATGGGTTTATTTTTTGTGAGTAAAGTTGATTCCATCCGTCGTAGGTTGTCCAGTACTGATCACTTCAGATTTTCGACTCAATATGCAACTGACATGTTGGTTTTTCCATGTCTTTCTGACTTTGACTATGTCTCTGAAGTTTGTGTGAGGAAAATTATTAATGGTTCATCCAAAAAATCATGCCTGTTAGCCCAAATTCCTACCCATTTGTTGATGGATTACTTGGATGTTTTGTTACCCTTTATCACTCAGATCATGAATGTTTCCTTAAAATCGGGATGTTTTCCAGAACTCTGGAACTCATCTGTTGTGCTTCCTCTCCTAAAAAAAATGAGTTTGGATGCCAAGGTTGAAAACTATCGTCTGGTTAGCAACTTACAGTTTATCTCAAAGATACTTCAGAAAATTGTTTGTGATCAGTTTCAATTACATCTTACTTCGCATAATCTGTTCCTTACATTTCAGTCAGCATATCGTAAGTTTCATAGTACTGAAACTACGTTACTGAGGGTAAAAACTGACTTACTACTGGCTATGAACAATAAACAGGTTACCTTACTTGTTTTAATTCAAGCTCTGCTTTTAACACACTTGATCACAGTATTCTCTTGAGCATTCTGAGAAAGAAGTTCAGAGTTGATGGCATTGTTCTTGAATGGTTCAAGCCATACTTGTCTGGGAGATCTCAGCGTGTATTAATTAACAACACACTGTTGGATAAGCATAACCATGTACGGGGTGTTCCACAAGGTTCTTGTTTGGGCCCCTTGCTAGTTATTTTATATACAAGTGAACTTTTTGACATTGTAAAATCCCATAATCTTCAGGTCCATTGTTATGCCGATGACACACAGCTTTACATTTCATTTTCACCTGATGTAGCTAGAAATCAAGTGTCAGCTTTGTGTGTCATGGAATCATGTGTAAAGGATTTACGTTCCTGGATGTCAACAAGTGGCCTATTCCTTAATGACAGCAAATCAGAATTCTTGGTCATTGGTACTCGTCAGCAACTAGCTAAAGTTAAGATCAATGGGGTTCAGGTTGGAGAATCTCTAGTTAGACCTGCTACTTTTGCGGAATTTGGGGGCGTGGTTTGATGTTAACTTGTCCATAAGTGATCATGTGGTTAAAACGTGCAAGTCTGCATTTTACTTCCTGCACAACATTAGATCTATTAGGAATTACCTAACAAGTCCCAGTACTGAAACACTCATTCATGCTTTTATTACATCTAAGTTTGCACGGGGTGCATGGGGTGTTTTGGCACCTCAGGGAGTGACGACCCTGCCCATAATCGTGTAGTCCTGGGCTCAGCTGGCTCTGGCTGACAGTACCTGGTAAGGGCCCCATGCCAGGGTTACGGTGAAGCCAGTGGCAGCAGGCCAATTCATCCTGAATTGAGTGCTTGAAAGTTATTGTCATCGACGGACGACAGATGATTCAAGACCTAAAAGACGTTCCACCCTGATCTACAAGGAGCTACATAGACAGAAGATCGATATAGCAGCACTGCAGGAGACAAGAATTGAGGGCCGCGGCCAAATGCGACATGGAGCCTCACACCATCTTCTGGCAAGGTAAAAACTGGAGTAAGAAGAGAGGCTGGCGTTGCTTTTGCAAGTGCCAACAGACTTGTTTTTAAGCTGCCATCTCTGCCCAAAGGACTGTCAGAAAGGTTGATGAGTCTGCTTATGCCCCTGGCCAACAAGAATTTTCTCACCCTAATATGTGTTTATGCACCAACCATGACCTACTCTGAACAGGACAAAGAAGCCTTCTATGAGGAGCTAAGTCAAGCTGTGGACGCTATTTCGAAAGCGGACAGGTTACTCATACTGGGTGACTTCAATGCAAGAGTGGGAAGTGACTATAAAACGTATGGTGGCATGGTTGGAAGGTTTGGCAAAGGTGGAGTTAACTCCAATGGTGTTCTCCTGCTCAGCTTTTGTGCTCAATGGAATTTGTGCATCACCAACACCTACTTCAATCAACCTGATCACCACTTCTACTCTTGGATGCACCCCAGATCGAAGCCCTTTCACCTGCTTGATTGTATACTTTCTGGAAAACAACATTTGAAGGAAGTATTTGTCACCAGGGCTATGAGGGGTGCAGAATGCTCCACTGACCATTACCTGATAAGAGCAAAAGTAGAGCTCCAGTTGCAGACTCCAAGAAGAAAGTCATCGGCTGCTGTCCCCAAAAAGCTGGATGTGAAAAAGCTGAATTTGGCTTTTTTTTGGTCATGCCTTGATCCACTCTTTGCACATGCCTCTGGAGATGTTGAGTCCGATACCATCAGAAGATATAGACTCTTCATGGAGCACTCGGAAGAACATCATTATGAACACTGCAACAGAAGTTCTTGGTCATCCTAACTGAAAGTCCCCAGACTGGTTTAGCGACAATCAGGATAAAATTCAAGCCCTCCTTATGGAAAAGCAGAAAGCACATTGCCAATATCTCAGTGACACCTCTGAAAGGATCAAGAAGCTGCTAACTAATACAAAGGTAAACCTCCAACGTGAAGTGAGGAGAATGAAGAATGCCTGGTGGGATAAGAAGGCCAATGAGTTGTAGACATTGGCAGATGCCGGCAACTCCCATTGCTTGTGCTCAGTCCTTAAGTCCGTATATGGTCTGTGAACAAATACTCTCACCCCTGTGAAATCAGCCGATGGGAGTTGCCTCCTAATGGACTATAATCAGACATAACAGACCGACGGAGGGAACACTTTCACAAGGTATTAAACAAACAAGGACCTACTAGAGGTGATGCTACATCCACACTTGTAGTTCACCCAACAAGATATGAACTTGATGAACCAATCACTTTTCACGAGGTGGAAAAGGCTCTAAACCAAACTCAATCTGGCCAAGTCTCCCGGCTTAGACGGCATCCCCTCAGAAACCTCAAGTATGGAGGTCAACAGGTTATAGACCGCCTACTTCACCTGTACAATCTCTGTTGGGCCCAGGAACAATTTCCTCAAGAATTCAAGGACGCTTTAATAGTTACTATATAAAAGAAGAAGGGTGATGGGTGTGACTACGGTAACCATGGTGGGATCTCCCTTTTGTCCACTGCAGGAAAAGTGTTTGCAAAGGTTCTTCTAAACAGACTGAAACAAGTATCTGAGAGGGTTCTCCCTGAAAGCCAATGTGGCTTTCGGGCTGGAAGGTCAACATCTGACATGTCATTTACTCTGTGTCAACTACAAGAGAAGGCTATTGAGCAGCAACAACCTCTGTATATTGTATTTGTTGATTTCTCCAAAGCTTTCGACAATGTTGACAGAACCACATTGTTGGAAGTGCTCAAGGTGTACGGTTGCCGTAGTAAGTTTATAAACATTGTCAGACAGTTTCACGACAACATGTCCGCTGTGGTTTCTGTAGGAGGTGGCACTAGTGCTTCTTTTTCAGTTTACCATGGAGTCAAGCTGGGGTGCATGTTGGCACCAACACTCTTTGCAGTGTACCTTGCTGCAGTGTTGGAATATGTGGCTTCCGGAACTAACAAAGGTGTGTATATTTGAACCAGAAAAAGATGGGAGTCTATTCATCTTGCCCAGCTTCGAGCTACTTCGAAGACCAAATTAGTCTGATTACCAACTTGTTCGCTGAAGCTGCAGCTTGTTTTGGACTGCGAATAAATGCCACCAAAGCTGAACTTCTCTACCAACCACCACCACAACAGCAAGAGCTGCAACAACCTGTCGTACAAGTGCATGGAGACGCATTGAAGACTACTGCCACTTTCACCTACCTAGGCAGCACTGTCACCAAAAAGAAGTCATCTGATGCTGAGATTGACCGGAAAATCCAGGCAGCCTGTAAGGCATTCGGGTCTTTCCAGCAGCGTCTCTGGTCTCTCAAACTCAGCACTAAGATCAAGGTCTACAACAGCAGTGTTGCCATCGCTTCTATACTCCACTGAAGCTATGATACTCTATTGCAAACACATCAAGCAGCTGACCCAAATCCAGCTTCCCCACATGCGCCAGATCATGAACGTCAAGTGGCAAGACAGAGTTCCAGACGTGACTGTCCTGGAACGGGCAGGGGCTGTGAGTGTGGAAGCCTTAATTATCGCTGCTCAGATCCGATGGGCTGGTCATGTCTTTCGGATGTCTGTTCAGCAACTCCCTAAGCAAGTGCTTTTCAGTGAATTCCTGTATGGGAAATAGAAGTGTGGTGGCCAGAGACAGCCCTATAAAGAGGTTCTAAAACGCCACATGAAGTGTGCTGAGATTGACACTGGTACCTGGGAACACCAAGCCTCATCCAGATCAACATGACGGGGTGTTTTACACGAGGCAACCAGTAGAGTTGAGAAGCGGGCCGCTGAGTATATGTCAGCTCATGAGCAACGCCACTTCATTCCCAGTGTTAGTGTCTTCACCTGTGGCAAATGCAACTGGCTGTGTAGATCCAAAGCTGATCTAGCAGCTCACCTGCAAGACCAACCCTACGTAATAATTAAACCATCTTACCTCTCTCTCCTATCTTGTCTTCATTGAAAACGTGGGTGCTAGGTTTGTGTGTAATATGTATAAGTATTGTCATTTCACATCTATTCTTGTTGATCTTCACTGGCTCCCAGTTAAGTCTAGAATTTTCAAGATGTATT